CTGGTTAAGATTGAACTCCTGGATTCAGCAGTGAGTTAGCCTGCAGTACTGCAGTCTAACCATTGCACCACCACGACTCCTGTTAGTTAGTTAGTTAGTTAGTTAGTTAGTTAGTTGAGTTATATGGCTACCCATGTCCCTTTTATGTGACTGTAGGTGGCTTACAATCAAATAATTAAAATACACAACAGAAAAAGTAGAGACTAAAAATTAAATTAAATTAAATACATAGCACCGGGGCATTAACTAACCCGTCACTCTCACAGTTAGAAGATGGGCTCTATCCCATGCCTTTTGAGGCACAAAGATAAGGTTTCAAGACCTTACAAATGGCCAACAGTGATGTCGCCAGTCTAATCTTAAGAGGGGATTATGTTTGAAAGCGTGCTTGCCCTGGCAGGAAAAGCTCTCTAGGGTACCCAGAGAATGCCCCCCACCTGCCAGCTCAATAGGGCAAGGATGTTTAAGGACAAATCTGCTAAATGCTGGAAGTGCCACCAGATACCTGGGTCATATTATCATATGTGGTGGACCTGCTCAAAAGCAAAAAAAAATACTAGACAAAAATACATACGTGGTGGGAAAAAATGATAAAACAACATATTGATTTAAAACCAGAAATATTTCATTGGGGATTCAAAAAATACAGTAAGGAAAATGCATATTCAGTTATTCATATATTAACTGCTACTAGAATTGTATTTGCACAAAATTGGAAGAGTGAAGAGATACCTCCAGGTGAGAATGTGATTAGGAATATATTAGAATGTGCGGAAATGAATAGATTAATGCTGGCAATTAAGGAGAAAGAGCAAACTGAATACTATATGATATGGGATCTATTTTACCAATGGTTAAATAACAAAAATGGAAGTTAGAAATAGGGAAACAAGGTAAAGAAGATATGTTAAAAGAGATAAGTAAATATTATGACTATAATATTTATTGAATATTATTATATTTATATAATATTATCGAATATTATTGAATATTAAATAATATTGAATATTATTATGTTAATATTGTAGAATTAATATGTGGAATATTATTATGTTAAAGATTGCAGAAGCAATATTAATTTAACGAAGGATGTTGTAATTTTGATTATTGTTTAACAAAGATATTGATACCCAGACAACACGCTATTCAACTGAAGATGGAATGATTATATTAAAAATAAAACAATATATAATATAATAATAATAGGGCAGGAAGATAACAAAAATGCACATTAATCAGTGCAGCACCGTAAACGACCCCTGCTGGCTGGTGAATTCTGGGAGTTGTCCACAAGTCTTAAAATTGCCAAATTTGGAGGTCTCTGGTATAGGAAATGCCAGACAGGTGGGAACCCTCTTTCTGCCCGCCATTTCCCACTGGTGTTGGACATAGCAAACTTGTGGATTGAACTGAGTGCAACAACACAGCAATTGTGATTTGTAAAACCTGGTTTAGGGTTAGCAGATTGCATTAACCTAGCCCCAACTCCTACGATCAATCGGAAGAAGACTGCTAGTACCCTTTCCATCAAATCCATGTTAATGAAAGGCACCAGGGGTCAGGAACTGCAGTTCACAAAAGCTCCACCTTTTAAGCAAAGATGTTCACCTGAAAAGGTACCACCAAGGAGGAACAGCCTGCTCCTTGAGGGGCTCCATTACCAGTGGCCAGTGCATGCCTGGACCTCTCGACAGTCCCACCCAGAGCCACCAGCCTCTTCGTCCTGCAAACTCTCCTGACTGCCCAAGGGAAGCTGCCTTGAAGAATAAATGCCCAGGGGTTCAAGTAGGGTGGGGCGGGATGGTAGACCTTACAGCTCACCTGTTTGCTTGCTCGGATGTACACTTTTTCCTTCTCGATTTTCACCTAGAACGAGAAAGAATGCCTTTGTCAACTCCTCTTTTTGTGTTGTACAGGTAACCTTCAAGAAGTGAGGGGAGCCAAATGTCAACTCATAATTCTATGGTCTTTTTAGAGTTGCCAACAGAAAGGGAGTGGGGAACAGTGTGACAGCTTGCAACCAAAACTGCATTCCATAAATGTTTTCAAAGATAGTAACTGTGATCAAAGTTTCTGCCACGCAAAATTCTAACTGAAAAGTATGATTAATGACTCTTGGCTATGGATGTGTCTCATTGGAGAATATGAATTACAATACACCCAAGGGAAAACCAGGGTCAAGGGTGACAGTGAATTATATGTCTCAGAGTCGGCTATACCCAGGCAGTGCCAGACAGTTTAACCCCCAATAAATCCTTTTTAAGTTTTGGAAGTTTGGCTTGAGACTCATGATTTAATTGGGGTTAAGTGCCAGAATCCTGACAGCCTTCATGTTTCATGATGTAACTTTCGCCCTCATTAAAATAAGGGTCTGATTATTCTAAACCTAATCCAGCTGCCCCACAACCCAATGAAAAACAGGTTGTCTTCAGGGGGAAACGGTATCAAGAGGATGGCAGAAGAAGAATGCCCAACCTGACCCAGCAGAGGCTCCGAATCGCCTCCAAAGTTTTCCCAGATCCGAGGATCGATGGTCATCCCCAACACATGGTCACTTCAGCTTCCCTCAGAAATCTTTAACAGGTGCTGGATCACCATCTCTCAGAGCTGCTCCAGGGCATCCTGCCCAGGTTTGGCTACATGCAGGGGTGGGCTGCTATCAGTTCGCCCCAGTTCAGGCAAACCTGTAGCTAACAGGTAGCTAATTTTATGGCTGGTTCAGCGAACCCACATATCCCACCCCTGGCTGGCCCCACCCACCCCTCCCCTCCCCTTTCCTCTCAGGAGTCCCCACCCAGCCCGTTTTGGATGCAGGTAAGTGCAGGGTGCACGTGGAGGGCGAAAAATGGGCCTCCCGGAAGTTCAGGAAGGCCAGAAATGGGCCCATTTCCAGCTACCAGAGAGCCTCCAGGGCCCAGGGAGGGTGAAAAAGGCCCCCGCGCCTGGTGCAGGAGGCCAACAAGGCCACGCCCACCCAACAACCAGGCAGAGAAACCCATTGCTAAAATTTTTGAAGCCCATCCCTGGCTACGTGACCTCTAAGTTCCCTTCCAATCCTAGGATTGTATGAGTAAGACCAAAGAAAGAGTCTCAGAGCTAAGAGTTGGTTGGGCCTTTGTGGGACAGATCAGGTAGAGCTCCTTATGCACCACTACGTCCATGGGTGCTGACAAGGAGGCTGTGTGTGTGTGTGTGTGTGTGTGTGTTTTGTGTAGACTGCCATCTCCTTTCAGCCCCTCTATAATTTCTCTTTATGACCTGGAGGACTGACAAGGCAGAGCTGGGCTCCTCAGACACCGTTTGGGTCCCAATCTGCCTCCTCTTTGCCCATCCTGACTTCACCTTGGAACCTCAGTTGACCTGGCCAAGGTGTATGAAGGGAAAACTCCCCCACAAAAGTCTTTGACAGCCCCCAGTTCAAGGAGTCACAGTCTGTAAACTTTTCAGGGTTTCTCAATCGTGGCCGCTTGAAGATGTATGGACTTCATGATGCCTGGGGAATTCTGGGAATTGAAGTCCGCCTATCTTCAAGTGGACAAGGTTGAGAAATTCGGGTCTAGGGATTAAAGGGAGTGGCTTTCTGGGATATTTCCCAGGGACCACCTGGCTCAATAGACCGAAGGAGGCAATTTGTCTGACGCTCTGCAAACTTGGATGGTGTCGTGGTTTGCTGGCAGCCTGCGGAGACGGCATTGGAATCGGATAGTGGGGAAGAACAGAGACCAATCCAGGAGTCTGGAGACGACTCGGATGAGGATCCTCCGTCCAATGCAGAGATGGGGCCAGGGCCAACTGGGAGTGGGGTGCTGACTCTGGAGCCTTCGGAGTCTGGCAGCAGCGAAGCAGAGGACCCAGGGGAGCCTGTTCCCAGTGCACATAAGTGCAGAGCTGCTAGAAGGCGAGAGCAGCTGAGACAAAAGGGGCGACTCAGGAGTAAGGCTTAGAGGTGGTTGCCCCTCCCATAAAAGTCAGGCCAAGATGACAAAACCTTTGCAGGAAGCAAGGTAGCTTCATTGGTTCTAAGTCATTCTTGAAGCTCTGTGTACTTTGGTTGTTTTTTTCTTGTACTTCAGTTGGTTTCTTTTATAGTTAATTGGATACTTCTCTTTTTGGCAGCATTCCACAGAACTAAAGGATGTGTGCTTATCTTGGGGGACTGTTTGAGCTTAATTCCAGCCGGGAATGAAAACAATTCCCAGCGTTGCAATAAAATAGGTTTTGTTTTTAAAACAAGTTTGTGAATAATTACGGTTTACAAAGCCTGGGTCAAAACAGATGGGGGTTGGGAGTGGGGTGGATAGCTGCAGATTCCCAGGGACAGATGTTGTTTTCCTCAGATGACCTGCTCCTGGCTTGCTGTTAAACTGAAGACCTCTCACCTGGAATTTGGGGAGACTATCCAGCCCTGGGAAGTCTTCGATATCACCAGTGCCGATGTTGAAGCAAGCCCCGTGCCAGGGACATCGGACCCGGCCTTTGGACAAGACCCCTGCAGGGGGACCCCAAGAAAGAAACAGCAAAATTAGCTCCCCCTCTTGGCTGGAAGTAGGCCAACCGTTGCTGCTTTGAAACAAAAAAGAGGTAGCTGAACAGAAAGTAAGATTTGCCATGAATTAAACATTGCAAGAGGAGAGCTGGGTTAATTCTATAGCAGTGTCTCTCAACTTTAGCAACTTTAAGACCTGGGCCTGGCTAGTCTAGTGAAGAGAAGGACCAGGGGAGACAGGAGAGCAGGATTCTAGTATTTGAGGAGCTGCCCCAGAGAGGAGGAGGAGGGGGTCAAGCTATTTTCTAAAGCACCTGAAGGCCAGACAAGGAATAATGGATGGAAACTGAACAAGGAGAGATTCAACAGGGAAGTAAGGAGGAATTTTTCTAACTGTGAGAATCAACCGTTGGAACAGAAGTTGCCTTCGGAAGTTGTGGGAGCTTCATCACTGGAGGCTTTCATGAAGAGACTGGACTGCCCTCCGTCAGAAATGGTGTAATAGGATCTCCTGCTTGGACAGGGGGGTTGGACTAGATGACCTACAAGGTTCCTTCTAACTCAGTTAATCTATATCTGTATCATATGCTGGCTATAAAAATGGACAACCATCATGGAGAGGAGATAATTTTTCAAGATCCTTGTAGACATCTCATCAGGAATCCACCAAGGACCAATTATAATCTAGAGTGGTTTTGCTCACCTGTTTGGAAGGGGGGAGGAGAGGAATAAAACCTACACGCCATGGCTCTGATGTGGATTAATGAAGGGAAAAAAACAGTCCTTTTGCAGGGACCACCAGAAAGATTTAAAACACGAGCTGACTGAGAAGCAGACAAACCTACATGGGATCAAACAATGAGTGACAGGATCTTCTAGTCTAGCGTTCTCACTGCTTTCAAGAGCCTTGCAGGTTTCTTCTTTGGGCAAACAATTGTCAGAACTTCCCTAAGCCTTTTTCAGGCCAGTCTTGCACAGACATCTTCTAGCTCAGGGGTCTCCAACCTTGGCAACTTCAAGACTTGTGAACTTCAACTCCTAGAATTCCTCAGCAAAGCTGGCTGAGGAACTCTGGGAGTTGACGTCCACACGTCTTAAAGTTGCCAAGGTTGGGGACCCATGTTCTAGCTAACCCTGACTCCTAACCCTGACTCCTGCTCTGGGGCAGGTGGAGTAAAACACACCTTTCACCAGTGGGGCGCCGTAGTGAGGACACTTGTGGCCCATGGCATAAAACTCTCCGTTTTCTTTCACCAGCAGAGCCTTCCCACAGCCCAGGTCAACTTCTCGCATCCTAGGGAGAACAAGAAGGAGCATTGTTAAACATCTTTTCCATGCAGACCTGACTTTGCCAGAAGCCCAGCAGAACAAGAACAGTCTGTGATCGCACCCACATGGAAGGAAGTGAGAGGCAGAACTGTCCGGCTAGATCTCAGCAAACTTCCCTCTGGGTGAGCTACATTCAGCCGGTTCTGACCAGTTCTGGAGAGCCAGTAGCAGAAATTTTGGGTAGTTCGGAAAACCAGCCAATCCCACCTCTGACTGGCCCCGCCAACCCCATCTCTTCTCTGGATCCCATCAAGTCCCGGCCGATTGGCTGGGTCTCCTTTGGTTGCCCTGCCCAGGAGCTGAAAAGCAGGTCAGTGGGGTGGGGAGGGAAGGAGGATTTTGCAGTATATCCTTCCCCTGCCACGCCCACCAAGCCACGCCCACAGAACCGGTAGTAAAAAAAAATTTGAATCCCACCATTCTACATGGCTGTCCTGCAAATCACGAAAACTGGATCCTGTTTTGACCAACAAGGTTTCCAAAGCAGAGGCAGAAATTAATGCCCAGAATGACACTATGCAAGTTTATTGGTCAGAAATAACCAATGTACAGATAGAAGAGAATATTTGTCACTTAAGGGTGAACTGCAGATCCTTTCTTTCAGGGGTGGGATTCTACCAGTTCGCACCCATTTGCTACAACTGGTTGTTAACATTCTAAGCACTTTGGAGAACCGGTTGTTAGAAGAAATTACTGGCCTAATCCTGTAACAAAGGCAGGAAGGAAACATTCTGGTGTTGCTTACAGAAACTGCCTCTCCGTTAACCCTTATTACATTCTTGGCAGGACTAGACTTCCTGTCTCAGGAACTTCTCTGGAGTTTTTTTCCCCTCCTTTGCTGGTCCTTTGCTTGTGTGGAGTGACCATTCAAAGTTACAATGGCACTGAAAAAAGTGACTTATGACCATTTTTCACACTTATGACTGTTGCAGCATCCCCACAGTCATGAGAGGCCAGGCGAGGGAATGTGTGCCTCAATGTGAGTGATATTGAGGTGGTCATGTCCAGCCAATAACATGACCACCAAGCCACTCCCACCAACTAAGCCATGCCCACAGAACCGGTTGTTAAAAATTTGAATCCCACCCCTGCTTGGTGGTCTCTGAGCTTAGTAGTTTTCTTGTAGAAGTTTCATTGCCAAACTAAGTAACATCATCAGTGCTCGAAGGGAGTGGGGTTTATGGGGTGGGGGGAGAAGGACTGTGGGGTCCTTGGTGCTCTCTGAGCTTGGTAGTTTTCCCGTAGATGATTCATTAACAAACTAGGTAACGTCATCAGTGCTAGCATTGATGATATTACTTACTTGGATAATGAAATGTCTGCAAGAAAACCACCAAGCTCAGAGAGCACCAAGGACCCCACAGACTTCCTCCTCCTCCTCTTTCTCCTCCCTGCAAACCCCACCCCCTTCTAGCACTGATGACGTTATTTAGTTTGGGAACGAAACTTCTGCATGAAAATAACCAAACTCAGAGAGCACCTGCAGCAGCATGGGCAACTCGGGAGTAAGGCTGCAAGGTAATGGCCCCTCCCTTAAGAGATAAAAGCCAGCTGAGAAACCAGAGTCCTTTGCAGGAAGCAAAGAAGTTTTTGCACTCAAGCCTTGTGGACGTTCGGATTATCTTGGTTGGTGTTTGGAGACTCTTTGTGTTTGAAATATTTCTTAGAAACTTTATCTCGTGTTCTTGGCAGCCTTGCACAACCTTGGCAAGGCTTGTTTTTATCAGAGACAATTAGTTTGAAACAGCCTTTTAACCGTGAAGGAATGGAATTTGTAAAGAATCATTAGAAGGTTTTGCTGTTACCTCTGTCTGGTGTTTCCTTATGTATACTGAGAGTATTTACACCAAGACAAATTCCTTGTGTGTCCAATCACACTTGGCCAATAAAGTATTCTATTCTATTCTATTCTATTCTATTCTATTCTATTCTATTCTATTCTATTCTATTCTATTCTATTCTATTCTATTCTATTCTAACAAGATTTGGGTCAGAATACAGAATTCCACAGCCAGCAAAGCTGGCTGAGGAATTCTGGGAGTTGAAGTCCACGAGTTGCCAAGGTTGGAGACTCCTGGATTAGACGCCATTCTCAGAGAGTGAAGCAAACGTTTGAGTGATAGGCAGAGTCTGCAGAGAGCAAGCCTCCCCCCCCACCTCATTTTGATTAAAGCAGCGTTTCCTCAGCCACTTTAAGATGGACTTTAACTCCCAGAAATTTTGCTCGCTGGGGGATTCTGGGAGTTGAAGTCCACACACCTTCAAGCAGGTGAAGTTGAGAAACAGTTTTGAAATCCCAAGAAAAAGCCCTGGGCCCCCACTGACTGTCCATTGTCCAGGTCCTTCACGTGGCAAACGGAGGCCTCCACCACATCCTTCACGTTCCGGTAGAGGTTGAGGGCGACCGGGTGCTCCTCCAGCTGGTAATGCCGCGAGGTGCCGTTGGCCTTGTAAACAATGGGGCTGGCCTTCCCATTGGGCGACGCCTCCTCTTTGATGCGCTCCTTCTCCGGCAGCACCACCTCGATTTTCACTTCCACTGCAGGAGCAAAGAGACGGAGGTGAGAAGGACGGGGAGCATCTTCGACGCCGTGAGCTCGAACCCAACCAATTAAATAGTTGTGCTGGTTAGACAGTACATAGTTAGTTTAGGAATAAGAGCTGCCCCTAAAGGGAATGCTTCATGGGAGATGTGGTTCATGTCAAGTGGTCACATCTGTAATTGGTCAGGGAATCGATCTCTGGTTGGGCTGAGGCAGCTTGGGGACATTCTTACCTGGACCCCAGCATCATGCTGGAGTTTTCCTTTGCCTTCCATGGAGGACCTGTATCCTGCACGAGTCAAAAAGAGGGCTGTGAAAATATCTACAGACCCCTCACATCCTGGACATAAACTGTTTCAACTCCTACCCTCAAAAGGACGCTATAGAGCCCTGTACACCAGAACTACTAGAATACAATAGAATTCTTTATTGGCCCAGTGTGATTGGACACACAAGGAATTTGTCTTGGTGTAAATACTCTCAGTGTACATAAAAGGAAAGATACATTCGTCAAGAGTCGAGAATCATCAGGTACGACATTTAATGATAGTCATAGGGTACAATAAGCAATCAAATCATACTAGGAAACAGTCCATATAAATTGTAAGGATACAAGCAACAAAGTTACAGTCATACAGTCACAAGTGGGAGGGGATGGGCGATAAGAAGTGATGAGAAGTTTAATAGTAATAGTAGTACAGACTTTGTAAATAGTTGGACAGTGTTGAGGGAATTATTTGTTTAGCAGAGTGATGGCGTTTGGGGGAAAATTGACCTTGTGTTTAGTTGTGCTGGTGTGCAGGGCTCTATAGCCTCGTTTTGAGGGAAGGAGTTAAAACAGTTTATGTCTGGGATGTGAGGGTCTGTAAATATTTTCACAGCCCTCTTTTTGACTTGTGCAGTATGTACAGGACCTTGATGGAAGGCAGATTGGTAGTAATTGTTTTTTCTGCCGTCCTAATTACTCTCTGAAGTCTGTATCTGTCCTGTTGGGTTGCAGAACCAAACCAGATAGTTATAGAGGTGCAGATGACAGACTCCATCATTCCTCTGTAGAACTGGACCAGCAGCTCCTTGGGCAGTTTGAGCTTCCTGAGTTGGCGCAGAAAGAACATTCTTTGTTGTACTTTTTTATGACATTTCCCCCCCGAACGCCATTACTCTGCTAAACAAATAATTCCCTCAACACTGTCCAACTATCTACAAAGTCTACACTATTATTCCTATTAATCCTATTAATAATTAGTCTCATCACTCCTATCACTGATCCCCTCCCACTTGTGACTGTATGATTGTAACTTTCTCACTTGTATCCTTACAATTTATATGGAATATTTCCCATGATTTGATTGCTCATTGTATTCTATGACTATCATTAAGTGTTGTACCTGATGATTCTTGACTCTTGACTAATGTAACTTTTCTTTTAGGTACATTGAGAGTATTTACACCAAGACAAATTCCTTGCGTGTCCAATCACACTTGCCCAATAAAGAATTCTATTCTATTCTATTCTATTCTATTCTCCTGTATTTGTGTGGCAAATGTCAATCAGTGAAGTACTGAAGAGGTGATCATTTCTGTTGTGACTTGCAATACATTTGTCATCACTCGCCCTGTGCCTCTTCTGGCAAGTAGCCCACAACTTTTTTCTGTTCTGTTTATTTTGAATAAGGATAAGGATGACAAAGATGATAGGGATAGGGATAAGAAGAGAATAGAACAGAATGGAATGGAACAGGAACAAGAACTAGAATAGAATAGAATAGAATAGAATAGAATAGAAT